GATCTATGACAGATCTCTTGAGTCGGGCGTGCTCCCATATGACATTGACATTGATGCTTTTCCGGAAGATACCCCAGTTGCACCCCCACGTCATGCATACATTACTTTTTCACGTTTGTTGGAGCATGGTTTTACGAAGGGTTGCCCTGGATGTGATGGTGGCCACTACCGCCACAACAAGGCATGTCGCGAGCGATTTGATGCCATCTTCCCTAGAGAAGCTGCAGCGCCGCCTACACCGGCGCCAGATGTCGGAGCACCGAAGACACCTGGACCGCTTCCAATGCCTAAGAGTTCAGAGAAAACTTCTTCTTCCTCTTCCACAGGAGCAGTAGAAAAGGAACATTGGGTTGAGCCGGAGACCACTGAGGGTCCCGAGTACTCTCCTGATGAGCTTCCCGAGGGGTATGTTCCACCGGAAGACGTTGCGGCTGGGGTGTATGCCCTGGTGACGAGACAGCTCACCCGGAACGAAGTGTTGTCCCGACCTGATGCACTGCAGGCGATCCGTAAGGAGTTCGATGGTGTTGGTTCCATGGGAACATGGGAGCTTGAGTCGGTTGATGAAGAGTTCCGCGTGAAGGAGGCTGCATTGCAGAGTGGAGAGACGATTCACATTGCAGACTTGCTTGCTATTTGCAGCGAAAAACACGTTGAGTTGGCTCCAGAGCTTCGTGCTCTGAAAGGTCGTGTGTGCTATCGTGGTGATTCTGCAAAGACAGCTGAAGGGAAGCTAGCACTTTATCAGACGTTAGCCGCGTCTCCTGCGTCGATAGTTGCAGCCAACAGCGTGATCTCTTTTGGTCTTTTTGAGGGACACAAGTTGTCGTCGGCAGACGCCGTTAAGGCTTATCTCCAATCGGAGTTGAAAAGTTTGGCTGCCACATACATCCGTCTCCCAAGAGAGTTGTGGCCTGAGTCTTGGTTCACCCCAAGCGGCTACCCTCGCTTCAAAAGACCAATCATTAGATTACGCAAATCGCTATATGGACACCCAGAAGCTGGGGCCCATTGGCAACAGTTTCTTGAAGAACAGTTGTGTCTCTTAGGAGCAGTCAAGGTTGAAGAGTTTGCATCCACCTTCACCATCCCCACCTTCGGAGGATTGGCATTGGTTGTCTACGTGGACGACTTGATTCTCTCAGGACCAAGTCAGTGGCACGAGCCTTTCTGGGAGGCGTTGGGTGAAAAGGTGTTGATTGATGACATTGGACCGTTGGGTCGCTTTCTTGGTCGGCACCACTCCACTGTCGAGGTTGACAACGCAGAGTTCTTTGGCTTTGACATGCGTGCTTACGCCGAGGCTACTGTTCAAGAGTACTTGAGGGTTGCAAACAGCCCAAAGATGAAAGTAGTTGCATCACCGTTTCTCAGCAAGGGGTTCGTTGGAGCAGAAGAGCGTGGTGCTCTGGCAACTTCAGCCAGCAGCATTCTAATGAGACTCATGTGGTTGGCACGCCTTGCTCGTCCCGACCTGCTGAGAGTTGTGACTTGGTTGGCAACCATGGTACAGTCCTGGACGCAAGCTTGTGATGCGTACCTGTACCGTGCCATGTGCTACCTCGAGTGCACCAAGAACGCTATGTTGCTTGGGCATGTGCGTGATGCGCCGGAGCATGTGTTTGTTGAACTTTTCGCAGACGCAGACTACTGCGGAGATGATGAACACACCCACAGTACCACTGGTGGATGGCTACAGTTGTCTGGCCCGCGGACATCGTTTCCTTTGGCATGGCTGTCGAAGAAGCAGACGGCTACGTGCCGAAGCACGACGGAGGCAGAGACTGTCGCATTGTCGTATGTGCTCTTTGAAGAGGGTTTGCCATTGGTTGAGTTGTATTCCGCAATGCTTGGGCGTCCTGTGTTGTTGAGGCTTCGCGAAGACAACACTGCATGCGCGAAGGTCGTGACTGCTGGATACTCCAAGAAGTTGAGGCATCTCAAGCGCGTACATCGCGTGAGTTTGGCTTCGGTGAAGGAACAGTTGGATCGCGATGACGTGGAACTGAGCCTTGTTGGAACAAGCGACCAGAAAGCCGATGCTTTCACAAAAGCAGTGGAGCCTGCACTATGGCCCAAAACCCTCCAAAACCTTGGAGTGCACCTTGATGGGTACACCATCAAACACACCTCAGGCACTGGCCTGAAGCTGGACAAGCAGATGGCATTGCAGCCAGATACACCAACGACAGACGTAGCGACAGGACCTCAGGGCACGACAGGCCCTACCCAGCCAGGGTACAAGAAACGGCAGAAACACAAGCCGAAGAGAATACCTCCGTACAGTGTGCCACAGAACCTTTCCGAACCAGCTGGATAGCCCGGGATTCAGAACTGATCCCAAGCCGTCGAGCAGCTCAGGAGTCAGAGGGGGGAGAAGAAATCCCTCAGCTAGAAACGTCCCCAAGAAGCACTGAGCTTGAGTGAGGTTGCACACTTCATGTATAGATGACACGTCATGTATAGTTGATGTCTAGGAGCACTCATCCAAGACTGGAATTGTCATGTAAAGACTTGCATCATCGGTAATCGGCTTTGCCGTTGCACTGTGGACGCCAACCGGATTTGGCTCAAGAACTTGAAGAAAAGGTGCCAGGGCCGTGAATGTCGTTCGAGATCGTATCGACTGCTGCCTTTGCATAGGAAAGTCAGGTTCCAGAGTTTATCTTCATGTTCATTTTGAACTCACACGGCGTTTCATCAATTTTGCCCCACCTGTGCGATTGAATGTACACACAGAATGCAGGTGTCCAATCAGTTATGACTTATGACACATAGAATATGGATCCCCGGGATGTGTTTGCTTTGCTGGCCTGTACACATCAAAGCACACATAAAATGCGTGTGAATGTGGCAGTCCATTGCAATCACATGTTCTCATGTTCTTTTTTTTACCTCGCATGGCATTTCATCATTTTTGCTCCACTTGTGCGGTTGAATGTGCACATAGAATGCAGGTCCAAATAGTTATGACACATAGAATATGGATCCCCGAGATGCTTGCCTTGCTGGCTTGTACACATCACTTGCCTTGCTGGCTTGTACACATCACAGCACACATACAATGCGGTTGAATGTGGCAGTCCATTGTTATTACATGTCATCATGTTCTTTTTGAACTCAGAAGATATGTGTTTCCCAGAAAGTGTGTCGCTGTATGAATCTACAACATAGATTTGGTCCACACATCGCCACACATTGTCAGCCCTAGTGAAACTCAGAGAAGCGGCGAGGCCATGCGTGAACATACTAAAGTATTCTTTCTTCACAAACTCACTAGCTCTCGCACCAAGCACAACATTTCACACTGACATTCACCAAAGCGGTCTTGGCTTTAGATGGTGCATCATTCTATCTTCTAGCACAGCGCTATTTACGCGGAATGTTTTTGTCCAATATGCACAAAATGGTACAGCATTCTAACTTGTCCTCTAAAATCACCTACTTTATGAGTCACCTCGGGTGGTCCTAGTGGAAAAATTTTCCCCTGCGGTTTCCCAAAACGTCATTCTAACTTTCACCGCGGCAGTATAAGTCTAAATTCCGATGAAAGGAAACCAGAACCTGAAACCAAGGCACCTGAAACTATGTAATTATATAGTTGCAAATGATTCCTGCAGCACCCCGCGCCGGTGCTAACCTGACTGCAGCTTAAAAATGGGCCGGGTGCCGGACATTTGTTTTGCTGAAGAGGACAATGGGGCAGGGCAGCAAATGCCAATGCCAACATCATGATGACCTCGTTGAAATTATCGCAAGTGGTTTTGCCCAAAAACAGTATCCATCCAGCTGAATGGCTGCAACTAGAAACCACGAATTGATGAAGCTTTACGAACTTTTTGGGCCCATCAAAGAAGTTTCTTAGGTCCAAGAGAGACTTGGGTTTGTGTTTGTTGGCTGCAGTTAGCTCTTGTTTTTTGAACAGCTCAAGAAGATTCTGTTTGCTCTCTTTGACATTTGTGGCAGCAACCCTAATGCATGTCATCAAGATCCGAGGATGTTTAATCACCATGTTGGACATGTTTAAATGTTTTTTGATGGAATCTAAGGTCGTCATGTCGAAGCATATCCTTTGCACTGGTGGAGCTGGTATGCGCACTCAGAAGCGCTATAAAGGCTCATGAGCAAGGAGATCTGGAGATGCCAAGAGCAGTAATACGTTGTCAAAATATCGAAAATATGTTGAAAGCGACATCCTGACTGGGGTCTTTGATATCTTCCATGATTTAAGAGATGCTCAGGTTACATCGGCTCACACACAGTTGTGAAGCTGACCGAGAGCGGTTTCTCAGTGTCCATCATGGACAACCTGCTGAATTCAAGTGAGAAGGCTGCAGCGTTGAACTTGTGTTTTCTGCAGTTGGGCAATGTGAACGGCATGCTATGCACCAGTGCTAGAGGGCACCTGCCACTGCCACTGCAGGTTTTGCCAAGATTGAAAGAGCTCACTGGGAAGGAGGCCCTGGCGACAAAGTTTCTTTGTAACTTGGAGCTATTTAGCGACTACTGTAGCTATTTTGTCATTAAATATTAAATTAGTTGATCCAGCTTGAGGTCAATGCAATTTGGTTGCATACTTCATTGTTAATTTGCAATTTGTGCAGACCCCATTCTTCAAGACGGACATGTGCGACGCGGAGGCAGAAACACTTTGTGTCAAGGTGGACCCATGCCGCTGTTTCTGGCTGAACTTAACCCTGCAGGCTGTAGACAAGCTGTTTGCCGAGCAGAAGTTTGACGGTGTGATTCACTTTGCTGGCCTTAAGGTTGCATGTGTACCGAGAATGGACCTGTTGAGCTGCACCATGTCTCTTGTCAGGAATTGCTATTGCTTCGTATTGAATCGACCGCAGCCCTGGCTCACCAGTCAGTGCTTTATCAGATTTTGTTATGACAAAAAAACCCACAAAGTCGTTCCTACTATCGAAGCTGTGCATTGGCAACTTCAACCGAGCACAGTGCAGAAACAGTTACAGTGGACTATGGTACCATGTGATTAACAACAGATACTGCTGTGTGCGGCGAAACGGTGTTGGACTTCGCAGCTGAATTCAGCTGCACTAGCCAGGACGCAGATTCAGCATGTTTCTTTCTTGGTGTTATAAGGTATGAAGTTTTTGGCAACACTCAGGCGTTGGAGCAGCAAAGTCACAAGTGACTCTATTAAGGGCAGAACTTGTTAGACGTGCAAGGAAGCCTACAACGCCGATTCAGCACAATGACAAGAGGCAGCGTCACAACCCGACAAAGTGTAGATCGTCCGACAACAAAGCTGTGTTCTTGCAGGCATACCAGAGTGCATTCGGAGATGATCTCAACACTTTCAATACTGGTCCTGGCGCTCATCACCCAGGCCAGCTTGGCCCAGGCTCGTCAGATGCGACCGAGCAACTGCCGTTTCGCAATTCTTTACAGGTGACGAGTTCTGAGCTCCTTGCTTTGTCTGTGAGCTCCTCGTCACCAGGCCCTTCTGTGTATCTGCATGTTCACCTAAGGATCATAGAGATTTCGATCATATAGGTGCAGTTAGCTCGAGTGTCACAGTGATAGCGATACCACTGCGAAACAACCAAGAGTGATTTAGCTTGTATGTCCCATGAGGTCAGCTGGATGTGCTTTGGGGTTCAGCTGCGGTTTCTGCTGGTGCATCTGGGGCAGCCCAGGCCTAAAGGGCTGCAGTGGTTCTCTATGGGAATGGCCAAGGTAAGTTTTGCGCATTTGGAAAGAACGATAGATCTGTACACTGGACACTGGGTTGATGCCCTTGGTCCATCTTGGTCCTTGGTATTCTCAAGCAGTTTCTCCATTGTGAATTTGATTATCAAATGGCAGATTGGGCACGTGCACATGCACGCATACTGTATGCCACACTTGTCCACACATTGTGGAATCACACACTCCTTGATTTTCTGATAAACTTGACACCATGCTGCACTGCTTGCTCCAGACTAGCTGCGGAGTTCTGGATGCTCTTATCTTAGCATTTGCAGCTAAACGGTGACACAATGCAGAGAGATTCAGGTCTTTGAACATTTGAAGGATTGAAGCTTTGCCAAGGCCTGGATAGTCACAGTGACCTCAATGAGCGATGGCGCCTCTACAGATGTTGATGTATTCTGCTTACTGGTTGCGAATGAGCCAAACGTTACTTTGCTGACCAACTTCCTTCCGCTGGTTGAGATGTGTGAAACGATCTTTCACATTCATGGCCTCCTGAACAAGTCTCATTTGCCATGCTCAGGTCGGAGCAAATTGTGATTTGCCAGTGCCAGCAGTCCAAGGCCTCCGATCTCTGATTCAAATGTGTATAGAGCTTTGTCAGGTCGGGATCTAGACATGAAGTGCGTCAAGCGCAGTGCCCTAGGCCACACTTGCCAACTTACACTCACAAGCAATGCGTACTACAATGTGGAGGCTTTGGCTCTTGACCTGTAGAAATGAAAGAGCAAGGAAGCAATGCCATCGTCGAGTACTGTAAGTTGACCGGACTGCTTGCTTCATTTGCGGATGTGGCTGGGTGCAGGTCCTGGAGGACTGCAACGATACACAGGCACTGCAAATGTAACCATCCAATAGTCAAGAGGATGACGTGTCACACAATTTGATTCAGAATGATTGAAGAACTGCCTAGCTGGCATAGCTCAGCCTCGTTCCTCTCGGGATAGGCCAGAAGTTCTTCCAACGCATCGGCGTTTGTTATGGCACAGCATCTCGGCTTGGGGAGATGGTCCGGACGTCGATATTCCTAATGTGCAAAACAAGTAAAGGCCCAGAAGAGACCAGATGGATATTCTCAATGTGAGGCCTGCGAGCCTTCCCACCATTCTGCTCACAGATGTCAGCCTTTATCTCAGCATGTGATGTTTTGATGAGCCTTGCCTTCACCTACTGTACACCTTTGAAAGATGAACCTGAATCAGGTTGAAACTTGTCTCCCTTTTAGGTGAAACTTCAATCTCAATCTCGTGGTCTTCTGGAGGGGATGGCGACTGTGTCTTCCAAAATTGGCAGGTAGCAGCCTGTGCAGAATGATCAAACAACGTAAGCCTTGTGGGCAGTCTAAGCAATGTAGCCTTGTGACATGCTTGTAGATTGTCGCACAGGCATGGAGATACTGAGACCAGTCGTTTCTTTTTTTTGATTTACTAAATTGGTTGAATTTGATAGGCTGACTGGCAAGTCTATGGTTCGGGCAACTGGCAGCAAGTGGAGAATGGAACTGGGACATCTATTGCCATGACGGGTTTGCAGGCTCAGCTTTTTGGGGTTTGTTTGCTTCCATTACAAAAACAACTTTTAACATCATTGATTTCTCCCTTATGATGTTAACATGTTTGACCTATTTGTGGTGGAAGTGCCCGAGCATATACTGCTTTGACGCCTTGGGGAGGGCAATTCTGCCTACGAACTGCGGGTGCAACAGGTGTGCTCTGCTGCGCACTCGGTACTCATAGAGCAATCAAGCGGTCATCTTGCCTTACAACTTTGACAGATGTCTGCCAAGGATACGGGTCTCAACTCTGGCTTTGCGCAGACTGGAGAAGGCCTTTTCACTCTTCCTGGCATCTTCAATGTGAAGTGCTCAGCTAGCCTCAGCACATTCCATTTATTGCTCTTCTTTGGACCATGACTCATGAAGTGTCAAGAGACTGTTTTTGCACTAAGGTGTATGTGGGCACAAGCTCAGACACCAGGGTGATCCAGCTTAGCAGGGTCCTCAAGTGTTTGTGCTGGCGTAGTCTTGTCATGGTGGCTTGTGGTTAATTACAGAAAAGCACATATATTTTTGCCAAATGTAATTAACTGTCCAGAAAATCAAAGATGCAGCTTTCGGTAGCAATGAACCCTGACCAAGATCACAAATTTCCAGAGGATTTACCAACAGACCGGTTTTAGCACATTTGGACCATAAGGCTATGGACCATCTCGGTGCAAAATCGTGAAGCAGTGCTGTGGAGATCAGTTTTCGGCCGGGATGCTGAGGTGTAGTTTCATCAAGCTAGACCTTGACCGATGGACTTTCTCTGTTGTATCCATAAATAGCAGAAGGGCATGAGTAGTACACGGATTCAACAACTGCATGCACACGAAGTGACACCGTTGGTCAATCAAGTCCATCCTGAATTTGGCTCTGTTGGGTAAACCGAGCAGAAGCCGGGGAAGCCTGCGATCTCAGAGAGTTGACTCCTGATGCTGAAGGTATGCTTTAGCGGCACTGATAGCAAGACTGCTGCTTGGACAGCAACACTGCAGAGCACTAATTTCATTGCATTGGATGTGTCGAATCACAAAGACTTGAGGCAACTTTGAGCAGGATGGAGGTTCCTGGTGGCTGGGGTCAAGATCTTTGGTGCCGTTCTCAGGAATGCTCCCAGTAGCGATGCCCTCTCCTTGTAGTAAAAATGTTCCTTAGTAAGGCCAGGAGCCCCTAGTAGCGTCCGGGGAATGGCTTTTTGAGTAAGTGTTACAATTTTTCACTGTGACTGTGAGGTCCATTTCCCGTCCAGATGTTTGGCATTGACAGTAAAACAGTGAAACGATAAACATTTACTATGGTTGAACTCTTGAGTTGCTTATGGCTTGTATTTACGGCTGTAGCCTGTAGCCTCAAATTTGGTGCCTGCACTTCTTCAATGATGTTGAAACCTGGGACAGTGAGACTTTTTAAGGTTGCAGTGCACAGCAGCTTCGGTAGCTGACTACACGACCTTTACAGAGGTTCAGCAACAAGAAACATGGAGAAGAAAAACATGAAGGTGTTTGGTCACTTTAGCAAGGCCCCCTTAAAGGGAGCCCTATTGTATAAAAAGGCCCAAGTCGACTGGATTTTGTATTCTTCGTTGTCTGCCTTTGCTAATGTCTGTTTTTCCGTTTCAATGAAAGTTTCAAAAGTCGTGAACTGTTCGACTTGGCAGGTCCAAGCACCTGCACCTCAGTGGATAGAGCTGCATGAGGCCACTAAGAACACAATGAGGGCGAAGTATCGTTTGGGCTGCACGCCTAGCAGCTCCAAGCATAGCCTGGCAGGCCTAGCATAGCATTGCAATAGCATTGCCATGGTATCATGCTGTGCTTGTCCAAACCTCAACATCTTGAGGCTGGATCATTGATGAGACTGCCACATGTGACTGTGCCGAATTGTCAGTACCCCAGGCCAATAGGAAGTTTGGCAATTCTCACATGAAAAAATAAGGCAGGCTGTCATAATTCAATGGTTTTGGGGAGTACGACTCTCACTGATCAAAGACCAAGCCTAGCGCCCTAGTAACACCTTGCTTTGGAGCGTTGCTAGGTAACCGATACCTACGCTTCCCACAGCCTGGTTTTGACTGCTAGGGTGCCAACACACCTCCGCGGTGTTTGTGCTGCCGTGAAGTGTTAAGAACCTGTTGGCGGTGCACATGTGTTTTGAGGTTACGCTGTAGTTATACGTATACTATACGTTATGGATCAATTTATGTATAGTCATGTACAATCATGTACATATATGTACAGTGTATATAGATATATACATGGTATGCCTGTTTGTCCATCTGAGACATGTTTCAGTAGAGCATTCTTCCCACACGCTGAAGGCTGGAAATGCTTGAAGCTTTTCGTTGCAAAGGTCCCTGGAGCTTCGTGCAGATGGCACAGATGTTTGGACGCAGTTTCGTGGGAAGGACGACAGCTGCACCATTATCGGCGGGTGTCCCAGACAATCAAACCAATCCTTTTTGGGCATATAAACTTTATTGGCTTGGGACACTGTGGAGACTTGCACGAAGCTGTACAAAAGGCTTAAAGGCATTTGCTCGCGCCTTTGTTGCTTGAGGCACCCGAGATTGCTTCTTGATTGATGCCTGGTGCTGAGTGCCGAGTGTACAAATGGGGGGCTCTGGTTGATGGTTGAGGGTCCAGCTTCTGCGACTGAGGTGATGCCGGACACAAAATATTGGGGCCGGCTGAAAATGTCATCCCAACAACTTGACTTTTGTACGTTTTTTGCGTTCTGTTGACCGCGAGCCTGATTAGAGGCTGAAGTGACAGGTCATGCCAGAACTCTTCGGTGGACAGCGACTACACTTACACACAGGTTTGGCACTGGCAAATGGGTTTGGTGCACTTGTTGCATACAGTCTGAGTTGCCATAGTGCCTTGTGGTTCAACGCTTGGAGGACCCCATCATCACTCCACCTGGCTGCATATGGTTCCCACTTCAGTGTTCAAAGCATCAAACGTGCTTTGCCTTGCTGCAAAAGATGCGAGTTAGTTACAGTAGTTAGTTAGTTGGTTAGTTAGTTGGTTGGTTGTTTGTTTGTGCGTGTGAGGTCAACCCACACTGGTCAATGGGGGCAGGCAACCATGTTCGAGTGTGCTGACGGACAGCCCAAGAGCCAGTTTGATACAAGTGCACATGTAGTGGCCGGCAGATGGGCAAACACTCGCAGGAACATACTGCAGCGAAGCCGACGCTGCCTGCTGTGTTGCTCATGGTGGCCGCATTCGGCAGGGATACCTGAAACTGCTCTCCAGTTATATACAATAAGAAAGCATTTGTATTTGGAAGCAATGGCCCTCCCCCCACTAGTGATGGCCTCTGTGAATTTGAATGTGCATTTAGACCGAAGTCGTTTCCATGGTGCTTGGGCCCGAGACGCGCCCTGATCTACGTTGTTTAGCGGATGTTCCATCGACCTTGCCGCCATATCGCATTGTCGGAAAACATAACGTTCGCTCGGATCTTGTTGTGTGAGAAAGGCGACCAGTTGTTCTTGCAGTGAGACTCCCTACCAGTTTTTCATGGTAGCGGAGCCTCTCGCTCCGAGGGGCTTGTTGAGTTGACATTGCTGGAGTCGACTTTGACCTTGTGCATTGTGTTGGTTTGTCACTTTTACTTTGTGCATTGTTACGTTGACAAAAGCAGTGTGTGGGGAGCTCAATGAATATTCCGAAGGAATATTATGAGGGGATGGTGGATCCAACGTTTCCGTGGTGGGATGGAAACTGGAGTACATATGAGGATTACAAGATCCGTGTTGAGTTGAGAGCCGATGCCTGCAAGACCGACGATTTGCCATTCTTGTGGCCAAGATTAGCAGCAAATCTGGTGGGCAAGGCTTTTGAGACTTTAGGTGAGATCAAGAGAGAGCAGCTCAAAAAGGCTGAAGGATGGCACTATCTGTTGACCTTCCTGGAGGACACAAGAGGCAGAGCCAAGGTGGATGACACATTTACAGAGTTTTCCTGCGCGAGGAGGCATGCCGTCGTGATGGTGAGGAGATCAATGACTATGAGACCAGGTTCAAGACCTTAGTACGACGCATGGAGAGAGCCATCGCAGAGACAAACTCCAGTGCAAAGATGCCACCTGAAGTATATGGATGGTTTTGCTGAATGTGTTCATGAGGATGTCACCTTGAGATGCTGCAAACATCCGTGGAAAGGCAAGCTCTTGCAAGGTAGAAGACGTGCTCACAGCTTTGTGTTTGATGTGGATCAGTGGAGGTTTAGGGAGTCGAGACGCAGAGCTACGACCTCGAAAGTCCACATCAGGACAGGCACATCACCAAGATGATGACTGAAAAGCTGGAGGTTGAACATGAGCCGGATGGCTCAGAGGAGATCTTCGAATTGGAAGAGTGGTGTGAAGATGCTACAGCAGAGCTGCTTGCAGATACAGAAGACAGTGCAGAGGTTCTGGCTGACTTCAAGGAAGCCAGGAGAGCCTTAGACCAGGCGAAGACGGCAAGAGGTTTCTATCCAGTGAAACCACCCGGACAAGGTCCATTCCGGGGGAAGGCAAGTCAGTCGAGCCGATCCTTTTCCAGAAACAGTGCACCAACCTCAGATGCTGACCGGATCTGTTTTCGGTGTGGGAAAAAGGGGCATACAGCAAAGCGTTGTCCACAGAAGCCTATAAGCAGTGGTCAGAGGAATACTGGCTATGTGGGATGGTGCAGTGGTGAGACAATAGATGACACTGAGGCACACCCGGAGGTTTAATTAGTGATTAATGTGCAACTCAGTGAGACCATCGATGAGTTCACAACCCAAACACCGGCAGAGGCCAATCATGGTCCATCTTGGGTTTTGTGTTGTCAGGAGATGGCAACCGGACAAGTCATGGCCTTACAGCCAGCCGACCTACGGGGGAAAGCAATTGTTGATTCAGGTGCTTCAGACAACATTGTGGGTGCTGAAACTTTACAAGATTTGGCAGAATTTTTGGAAGAGTTGGAATTTGACCCAACAAAAGAGATCGCCGTGGATCGTCAGATTCACAAGCGCTTCGTGTTTGGGAACGGAGAGTGTTCAGCTGGGCTAGGACTGTCGCATGTGAGTGCAGGAATCTGCGGAAAGAAGTGACAATTCAATCTCACCTGGTTGAAGGAAAGACACCATTTTTGTTATCTTCAAAGTTCCTCTACGACATGGATGCTACAATCAATTTCCGAACAGGCCGTTTCGAGCATTGAATGATCGTCAGATTCAACTGGAGCGCGCAGAAAGTAACCGTTTGATGATTCCCCTGACAGCTTTTGCTGGCCATCGAGAGGCCTTTCAAGAGTTGTTCGTGAAGGAAGAGGACACCGACCAGTCGGTCCACACCTTGAGCCGGAGTGACGCCGACTTGCCGCGCAAGACGGCCAGTGAAGATTGCAAGACGGTCTTTCATGAGACCGACACTGGCGATCAGGGCGCGGTGGACGAATAGGAAGAGCTCCACCCAGGCTCCAATGGACAAGCTATCCCTAGCTTGATAGCCTTGAGTGGAAGTGATATCAATGAACATGGAAACGTTGAAGTGGTTCATCAAGAGTGTGTGGTTGATCTGGAGTGTGATCAGGATTACCCGGAAAGCATTTTTCTGGCTGAACAACACACCAAACTTGGCCAACACATCGAACCAGCCATACAAGAAGGCGACAGGATTTTTGAAGGTCTGGTGGGAGGTCATCAGGTCGATTTGATTGAGGTGTGTGCACCCGCGGGACAGTCCTTTGTGTCAGGCCGTTCGTGAACTGGGAGGTACTGCAATCGCCCTTGGGTTACGCAACGGATACGATTTGACCATTCGTGTTCTGAAACCCAAGTATTTGCGCGTGTCACCCCATGTGTTTCTTGTGGAGTTCTTTTCAGAATTTTACAAAGAGAAACGAGACGCAGCAGAGACACTTGGAACAATTGAGAGGACAAAGCAAGCGCTTGATCACCAGGTGTGCTCGTTTGCTCGAAATCCAACTTAAGGAACTGGACGGCCAAGGCGGGCACAGTGACACTGGTGGAGGAGAACATCCTCTCAGAGCTCAGAGTTGGAAAGCGACCGACATGGGTAGCGTGGCTAGGAAGTGTGGAGGACGGTTCACTGTTCATGGTTGTTGTCACGGCGTGTACGATAGAAAAACGAGGAAAAAGAAACCTTGAGGATGGTTCAGTACTTTGCCTGCTGATCGAACTGCCCTTGAGAGTTCATGTAACCATGATAGTCACACTCATGTGCCAGTTGAAGGGGATTTGACGGCAAGAACAGCTGTCTACCCACCACTGCTCTGCGCCCGTTTTGCCAAGGCCCATTTTGCAACCAGTTCTTGCTATATAGGTGTTTGCATGTGTCTTTTGAGAAGACCTCAGCATGTCTGGCAGCTGATTCACAGGATTATTGGAGTCAGGACCGTGGCTACCTGATCCGACATCACATGACAGCACGAACTCAGGCTTTTCAACCAAACGAGGTGGACTATCCAGTTGATCTGGAACGGGTGTCATCTTGGCGCCGGACAGTGGCTGAGTTGTCAGATGGACACCGTCTTGAACATGAGGACAAGAGGGAACCCCAGGGGCACCCTCTTGGACAATCGGACTGGAACCACCCGCTTCGTGAATTGCATGAAGAGGACAGAAGACATGAAGTGGAACTAGGACGATGAACCAAATCCGTTTGAGCCACCGAAATTTAGGTCATCCCAATCCTCAGACGATGCTCCGGATGTTCAAGGATGCAGGTGTTCCTCCAGAGGTGCTGAAACAGGTCGAACATTTTCGCTGTGACCAGTGCTTACAGCGAGGACGCAGAGCCACTTGCCATCCTGCCACTCCTCCACCCAATCGAAACAAATGGGAATGCATCAGCGTGGACACTTTTTGGTGGCGCATCCCAAAGGCATTGCTTTCTGAGGGTCCAAGAGGACAACATGTGGAAGCGACGGATTATCGCACGATACATGTGGTGCGACAAGGTGAAAAGCCCCAACATTCCATTTCTGGGAAAGAGTTCAGGGAGGGTTTTTCCGAGAGTTGGATTCGTCGTTTTCCGATCCCCCAAAAACTGATATGATGAAGAAGGGTTCATGAGGGGAATAGATTTGGTGAGTTGGTTGGAAAGTGCTGGTATTAAAATGGAACCTATTAGTGGGGAGAGTGCTTGGCAGATGGGCAAACACTCCAGACACCTGCAGATTTTGAAGGAGAACGCCAATTTGTTGGCATATGAATTCGGACCGACCACTGACGCTCCTGAGCTGTTGAATCTGGCTGTGATGGCAAAAAATGAGGTTCGCAATGTTCGAGGTTATACCCCCAATCAATGGCAGTTTGGAGCCAACCACGGACGGATCAGCTCAATTTTGCGTTTTGATGGACATTTGCCTTGGGACAGCCAAAGAGAAGACATCGACTTTGAAACCAACATGAAAAAGGAAGCGGCTGCTAGGAAATTGTTCATTGAGGCAGATTCGCAACGACGTCTTCAGCGTGCGCTCCGAGCCCAGAGGAGGCGTCTTCGTGAATACTGAAGGGATAGAAAAGAAGGCCCAAGGCAAGGAGGTCGGTGGCGCGGACCTGGAAGAGTACAGTGTCATGAAAAGAGTTCAGAGCAGCGTTTGACCAATCGCCCAGGATCAATCGTGTGGGGGAGTCACGCAGGGTTTTGGTTGAGATGCTCACCAGAGCAAGTGCGACCAGTCACCCAAGATGTACAAAGGGTTGATCTAGAAATTAAAGGACCTTCAGATTTTGAAACGATGTACCGCACACTGAGACGCCAGCAGAAGTTTCATGATCTTGCAAACGAAAACATTTACATTCCGGAAAATTCATCAAGTGATTGCATTCCGCGTTTTCGATGCTCAAGCAAAAGATCCCTGGACGTTGAACAACCTCCGGATTCCGCGCCTCGCCCCAAGCAATGAGCGCAGCAGGAAGCAAGCCCGAGCCAACTCTCAAAGAGAACCTCGAGAAGCTGACCAGCAAGACCGCCGCCAAGGAAATGGTGGAGAAGGCGCAAACCATGCCCATGGCCGAGTTGAAGAGCTGGAAGATCGATTTCGGGAAAGGAAAGGGCTGACATTCGAGGAAGCGCGTGCGAGCTTGCATCATGGCTGACTCTTCCTGCAACTTCTGGACCTCTTGTGTTGGTGTCCCTACCACCACCTTCGTCCATGGATCGAAGTCGCCCCTCTCGATCTTCTCTTCGAAGAGGTCGTCCATCTTGCCTTGCTTCTTGCTCCATGTCTCCATGTGAGAGCTCTCGCTTGGTTCCACGTACCCTCCAGCTGCCTCCATCTTGTTCACCACAGTCTGGGTGCGTCGGGTGAGGTACTTCACGAACATCTGCATGGTTGGGTTGCTCTTCACGGGACCCACGTGACTCGCTACCCATTCCGCGTACCCGGGCACATGGAAATGCTGATCGCCCAGATCGGCGGGGCTGAACATCGGGTAGTGGAACCTCAAAGAAGGCATCGTAGCCGGACTCCACAGAGGGATCCCAGCAATATCGGACAGGAAGAAGTGATGACCGCTTCACGGCCTGTCCATTTACACACCATGCCTGAGGAAAGCGAAGAAAAGCTGCAAGTGCTCTTCACACGAGCTTGTGAAACAACTGAGATAATAGACATTCATTTGAGCATTGCTGCGCGAGACGTTCATTCCAAACGTGGTGTTTGGTTTTCAACCAGAAGGCAAAAAGGAATGCTGAGGTTTGTCTTCGAAAACTTTCTGAAGAAGATCGTACAGGGTTTGAAATTGCAATGGGACATGAAGTGGATTCATTCACAAACAACAGTGCAGTTGAAATGTGTGCAAGAGCTGGCATTCCAGCAGAGCGTATTCTAGGAATGAGGTGGGTTCTGGTTTGGAAACCTATCATGAATGAAGAGGGAATTCAAACAGGTAGAAAGGCTAAGAATAGGCTGATTCTAAAAGGGTACATGGATCCTGAGCTTGTGACAGTGCCTCGTGAAGCAGCTACTTTGAGTACTTTGGGAAGAAATTTGATTTTCGCTTTGGTTGCTCAAAGGCAATTCCGGCTGGGCATACTTAAACGGAGACCAGACGGAATTAGAACATCAGATTTTGGCTGAGCCCCCCGATGAAGTGAAGAAATACCTGAACATGAAACCCCATGAGTTGTTGCGTGTTGCCAAAGCGGTGTACGGCCTGTGCCATGCTCCAAGAAAGTGTTTTGAGAAACTTCAGTCCGTGTTGTGGAGCCAAGGATGGCAGTCCCAGCAGCTGGACCAATGCGTGTTCTTGTTGACAGATCCACACGCTCAGGAGCTCTGTGGATACGTAGGTGCTCACGTCGAGGACTTGATTGTGGCAGGAGCAGGGTCTTATTTTGACCAACAGGTTCAGAAGCTCCGAAGTGCTTTTCCATTTGGGAGTTGGGAGTGCGCTCAGAAGAAGAACAAAAAATTTTGTGGATGCGACGTTTTTCAATCAGCTGAATGTGATATTCTGGTCAACCAAGAGAATTTTTCCTGGTCAATTGATGAGATCAATTTGGAACGGGAAAGAAAATTTCAGAAACATGATCTTGCCACCTCTTTTGAGAAATCCGAGATGAGAAGAGCCCTTGGTGCGCTCAACTGGAGGGCAATCCAGACATGTCCATGGCTCTTGTCTACTGTTTCACACCTGCAAGGGTGTGTGGAGAAAGCAACAGTGGAGGATTTGCTTGAAACAAACAAGGCCATTCGATGGCAACGAAGACACAGTCATGTCAAATTGACCTTTCCTCGCCAGGTACAAGATCGCTTAGTGTTAACCTTCTGCGACGCCTCGTGGGCGACGCGTCGAGACGGGAGTTCTCAAGGAGGTTCCATAACAATCCTGATGAACAAAGAGGTACTTTCTGGTAAGCTGTGTCATTTTCAGTGCTGTCTTGGACAAGTCGGCGGCTTCAGACGCATTGCAAGATCTTCAACAAGTGCAGAGGTACAAATGACTGGAAATGGTCTTGATGAACATGAGTTCTGCAAGCTGTATATATTTGATGAAGAATCCTGGAAAGATTGATTTACGCAATGCAGATTACATATTGGCAAAAGAGGGTTCTTTGCATGTTGAGTGACGCGAAGAATGTATATGATGCTTGGGAGCGTGTTCAAACATGTGGTTTACAGATGGAAGAGAGGAGGTCTTCTATTGTGGTCTTGGGGATCAAGGAGAGGTTGAACCAAACCAACGTGAAGTGTCGTTGGGTTTCAGGGGATCAAGAACTTGCTGATGGACTCACAGAACCCTGGAAGGGGAACAACTGATTCAAGCGCTGAATCAAACCACCTGTCGAATTATGTTCGACCCTAGCTTTGTTTCTGGCAAAAAGCGCAAGCAGCTACAGCAGCTGGAAGCGAAGTACGGTGATCCTGAATGGATGAACCTTGTGGAAAGTTTGGATGAATCAGGCTTCGGTCTAGAAAACTTTTGGACCCGTGTGAATTTGAATGTGCATTTAGACCGAAGTCGTTTCCATGGTGTTTGGGCCCGAGACGCGCCCTGATCTACGTTGTTTCGCGGACGTTCCATCGACCTTGCCGCATATCGCATTGTCGGAAAACATAACGTGCGCTTGGATCTTGTTGTGTGAGAAAGGTGACCAGTTGTTCTTGCAGTGAGACCCCCTACCAGTTTTTCAGCCTCCAACCTAGAAGCGGTGGCCTCCAACCAACTAAGAAATCATTTGCAGGTGCCCAGCCAGCACTCCCTTCATGTGCAACAACAACTTCGACTGTGCTGACTCGCAGGCCCGGGCTTGTTTATATATATATATAACTGTAAATATATACATACAAGTAATATGTGCCTGTTTGAGTGATGCTCTTTTGGTGCTGGGAAAACGTTTTCAGAAAAGACCCGGAATGGACTTGAGATGTTTGGCATCCACGACTTTGCCGCACTTAACAACTTTGTTCCAACCATTCAAAGAAGAAAAATGAATTGATCCACTTTTCAGGATCGTTGCTGCGTGGCAACTGAGGAGGAATTTTTTTGTATGAGACATGATGAAGTCGGAACACATGTCTTAAAGACACCATCGCCAACTCTTTGCAGTACAAGGGTCTGCTGTAATGTGTATATGTATATGTATATATATATATACATTTTTTTTTCATAGGCAGACAATAATTTCTGCGTGATCGGCTTTGTTCACAGCAAAAAACACCCTCATTGTTGTTAGCAGGAGTGTAATCAGCATGGAGGGCTGCGTACCTGCGAGGCATGAAAACTTGCTTTAGATTTGCTTCCTTTTGACATGACAAACCCTATTCCACTAGGTTTGAACTGCCATCCTTCAGGTTCCAGCAAAGACTCCTTTGCTGACCCAAGCAGAGTCTTTGGGGCCAGTGGCCTAGATGGACTTTGATCATTCAGTTTGGTAAGTAAATTCTAGCCGCAGGACGTAGGCCCTAGTCTGGCAGCACTTGCACTTCGTTTTTGCCCTTTTGGCATGCCGAAGACTTAGACAAATAGAAGTGTGAGGCCAGCTTCGCTCACAATCTCTTGGGAGCCACAAGAGTGCCCTTCTCTGGGTGGATACATTTTTAAAGTATGTTCAACTGAGTGCCCGAAATGGCTCAAGTTTTGGATTGGTTCAGATTTTGCTTGACATCTTTGTTCAGGTACCTAGCTGGGCTCTTAGCATGACATGTACAGCAGATTTGTGCATATAATATACCCTGCTTATCACATCATCTGTATTGTGTGACTTCAGATTGGCTATTCAAGCTGCCAATTTCTGGAATGGCGTGTGGCAATATCGCAAGCTCGAAGCTGAGGGGCAGCTGAGTAAGGACATACGGATCGTGCTCGCGCTGAGGTTCACATTTATGGTGAAGGGGAATGGTGAGCCGCCTGCGGTGTTGACGGTTCCTTTTGGAATAGTAATTTTATGATGTTTTACGATCCAGGGAATGGGCTTTGGATTGCAACAGCCGGAACTACGACCAGCGGCTGCTTGGTGCACATCTTCAATTGTCTATTTTCAAGCTCGGTCCGTGGGGCTGGATGGCAAAACTTTGCAACGAACAATGCTCAGGACATGTACCATAGAGAATTTGCTCAGCCTGACAGCGTACAATGTGCAGGCAGGCAGTTTGAACAAGCTTTCACTGCTTTAGTGAACTAGTAGTTAAGTTTCCCTAAAGATCTAGGAACCAAATCATTGGTGCGAGCGTGAGCTAGCAGTGTCCTAGTAGCTAGGAACGAACAAGTTTCTCCCTTACTCAATTAAGTAGGCGCCTACTTAATTAAGTAGTAGGAGGGCAGAGCGGGCCAAAAACAAGAGCCTAGTCTTTGGATCTCTTGCTCCTGCCGTTGCGTTTTCGGTGTGTGACCCAAACTGAGGTCTGGGCCCAGTGCACAGTGGTGGAGCTCAGCTCATATCCAAATCGAACAACGGTGTCTGTCCGCAACTTGGACGTCCCAAAAACATCCAAAAACCAGTCTGAGAAAATCCAGAACCACATGAGAATGTTTCCTGGCGTCAGGTGGAAACAAGGCCAATACCCTCTGTGGCGCCTTCAGCACTTTTCTGCACCCGTCATACCCTTGGTGCGTGTGAAGCATCAAACCAGTTGCATGATACAACTTCCTGGACGTGCTTGTGCAATTGAGAATTGGAGCCTCTGCAATTCTTTGTGCTGCTGGCTATTTCTTCAAATTGAAAGAAGGAAAGAAAGACGGAGACAAAAATCACATTTGCCCTGACTTGATGCCAGGCAGATTGGTGGCCTTCCAGCAGTGAAGACTGCGAGTTTGTGGCTTGGCAACTGGATGCGCAACTCATGCCAAGGCCCTTTGTGCTTCAGAGTTTAAGAGCACGGCAATTGTACCAAGATTCTCGCTGACGTGTGCATTTCATTGCAGCAGTGTCAACTAGTGTCACTCTGTTAACCCTCATCCCATTTTGGCAAAAACAATTCACAGATGGCAATCAGGGCTTTTGTATGTCATACCAACATGTTTGAAGTGTTTCAACACATTCCACCTGTGCCAGAACTGCGGGCTTCACCACAGATGGTCTTTATGAAGAGGCAGCACCTGGAGGAGATTGGGTGACGAAGTGCTTGCTGTGCCCCAATTGTCATGCTTTGTGTCCTGCTGCGACTTTGCTGGGCCTGAAAAGGTGAAACATGACAAAGAAGCTACCAGGGGCTCCTGGTCATACTACTAGGAGCAAGGACGCCGCTAGGGGCTCTTGGCCTTACTACTAGGAGCAAGGACGCTAGGGGCTCCTGGCCTTACTACTAGGAGCAAGGACGCTACTAGGGG